GAGAGGCCGCTGGGGCAGCTCTCTTCTCCCGCCTCCCGCCTCCCGGCTGCCCCCCACCCCGCCCGCCCCGCTCACTTCCTCAATGCCCGGGCCTCCGCCGGCCCCCTCCCCCAGGCGGCCCGGCGCGCCCCCGGCCAGGCCTCGTGCGCGCCCGCTCGCCTGGCGCCTGCTCGCCGGCCTCGCCCAGCCCGGCCCCTTCTCGCCGAGGCGGACCCTCGGCTCGCTGGCCGCGCGGCCCGCCTCGCTCCCCGGTCTCCCGCGCGCCTCTCGAGCCGCGCCTCCGGCTCCGCTCTGGCTCCGCTCTACGAGTTGGTCCGTACTGCGCGCTCCAGCTCGCCGGGTCGGTGCGCCCTTTGCCTCCCTCCTCCCCTCCGGGCTGTGACCGGCGTTTGGCAGGCCCGGGGACATTTCTGAGCCGGAACTGGGGAGCACGTTTTGCTCCCCAACCCGATCTGGACAGCCAGTGGCCTACTTTGCGGGTGGCGCCCGGTGCGCTTCGGTGACCCGAAGGGAAGCTGACGTTGCCTGTAGCTCTGGTTAAAACTGGTGACAATTGGGCTCTTTCCCGCGGGCTTTTAGATATCCCCCACCCCCCACCCCTGCCCAGGCCCCCTCCCTCTGGGTTTTCGGTACGACGTTGGCTGCTCCTTTGTTCCGAGAGGCGAAGCAGAGGGCCTCGGGCGGACGGTGCTCAGCCCCCGAGGGGTTCCAGGTTGCCGTGCGAAGCTCAGCCCGTTCGGGAGCTGGTCACAGCGGCCGGTTGTGTTTTGTTTGGGGGTTCAATTCGGTCCGTCTCAACAGAATAATTTCGGACTCGCCGCGGGTCTTGATGCACCGGGCTCAGAGCTAGTGACGTCTAGTCAACTGGCCGCATAGACATCAGGGTGCCTCAAGCACAGCTTCAGGCACCGTAACGCCAGGCCAAGGGCCCCCTCTTCGCGGCTAGAGCAGCCGTCCCGCAGCGCCGCGCGCCCCAGAGAGCGGCCGGCGCCGCCTCCGCTGCGGCGGAGCGCGGCTGTTTGCCCCAGGGTCTAGAGCGCTCCGGCGGTCCAGCCCCCCTCACGTTATTAGGGCCAGAGTCAGGGTCGGCCAGAAGCTTTCGCACGCACAGGAAGCACCCGGGCGCTGTGAACCCCGAGAGGTCAGGGTGGCGAGGGGACGCTTCGCAGAAATCCTTCTGGGGCTTTGGGAAGAGCTGGCACAGTCCAGGCCAAGCTCAGGAAGGCTGCCGCAGTGGCCTCACGGGTGACTGCTCCTCTGTATTTTTTGCTTGCAGATCAACAAAAAACCACAGTGATTGAAAACGGGGAAATCAGGTTTAATGGAAAAGGGAAAAAGATTCGAAAGCCTCGGACCATTTATTCCAGCCTGCAGCTCCAGGCTTTAAACCACCGCTTTCAGCAAACTCAGTACCTGGCCCTTCCCGAGAGAGCTGAACTGGCAGCTTCCTTAGGACTGACACAAACACAGGTAATTCCCGAGAAGCCCAGGTTTCCCTGAAATGCTGACCCTGCTTACAGATCCGGCAGGGAGCACATCAGGAGGAATTCCTGGCCTAGTCAACTAAGGATGGAAAGAGCTTAATGACAAATGCCTTTGCTCCATTACACGCTTGCCGGGACAACAGTTTGGAATAAATGACCTGGTATTCAGTGCTGGATTGGATTTGCACATCCTCCCAACCCTCGGCGACCCCACCCCAGCCTAGTGTCCTTTGGTGACCAAACTCATAAATTAATCGAGCCCTATTCCAGAGCAGAACGCCATGAAAGAGAACAAACGTGTAGGAGAAAAAAAGATGTTCAGGCCAGGAGGCAGAGGAAGAGCTATGCTTCTTAAGGATCTGTTTGTGTGGCGATGGGACGTAATGAGGATTTCAACTCATTGACACAGAGTTATGAAATTGGGGTGGGGGGGGGAGGCCAGATATGTACAGGCTCCAACAGGATTCGCTAAAGGGACCAAAGTGCAAACTACCCATCCTAGGATAGGTGAGGTGGGCTTTTCTGAAGACCGCCCTAAGCTCGATGGTTAAACCATCCCGGGTGACTGGCTGGTGCAGACTGAGGTACCTTCTGGGAGTACAGGACTTGGGAGCAATGGCAGAGTTGAAGATCAAAGAGGAATGCTCACCAAATTACCGCAGGTGAAGCCTCAGTTAAGTACAGTTGCTGAAGTTCCCCTGTCCTACTAATTTGAAAGACATATGGGGCATTTTAGACTTCACAGGAAGGGGCTTAAGTAGGTATAGTAGGACCCCGGTCGTAAAGCCAGGCTGCAATCACCTGTGGTTTTTGTCCTTGTCAATTAACTTAGCTGCACACAGTGGTAGGCCTCGCTGTGAGGTGGGCGATCTTCAGCGAGGGGACTCCAAGGTTTAGGAGACTCTGGCTGGTGAGTGATTGTGTGCTGCCTTAGAGCAGATGTCCCTGAAGCTCTTCTTTTCAATTGGGCCTGCTTTCTCTTGCCACATTGCCACCAAAAATATTTGGCGTTCCTGCAGCCCACTACCTCGTATTACTCTTGGAAAAGCAGATTCCTATGGCTAAGGAATTTTAAAGGTAAAAGAAGCGGCACCATAGAATTTCCTTCTTCAAACGAAGTAGCTTAGATATGCTTCCATCCCAGATTCCTGATTCACATTTAATTTTCAGGAGTCCTTTGAGTTTTAGTGACTGCACTAACAACCATGTGATGATTGTTGACCACAATTCGAGTAAGCAACATGCAAAGTAGGGAACTAAGGAAGGCACCATCCCTATTCCTTACAGGATTATGAGGATGTACTTGCTTCAGGAGAAAGATGCTTCATGCACATGCAATATATACATAGGTATCTTCAAGACATTTGGTTATAAATGTACAGGTTTTTCCCTGTTCGCAGTCATTTGCTCACTGTACATGCATAGAGATGCCAGGTTTGGACATTAGTAAATACAAAACAGACTGTCAGAGGAAGTGTGGCTTTTATCTGAAAAGTTCTCCGGTTAAATATCCTTCTTTGGACTTTAAGCTTGGCTCTCTCATTTTCCTTCGGTCTTATTTTATTCTTATTTATGCTGCTGTTTTAAAACTAGATTTGCATCCCACTGAAGAGCTACAGCGACGTTAGGTATCCAGACAAGATACCTGGTAGACAGGGCCGGGGCGAGGGAGAGGAGGCTAGAAAGAGGTGGAGGAAGGCGGGGACCTGGCGTTTGCAGTTTCGCTTGTTTTGATTTGGGTGGGGGGGTGGGTATTGCTTCCAAAGCTTGGAATAGAGGCACCGGTTCGGTGTTTTGCCACCTAATGATCCTCTGCTGCCTTTCGTTCCAGGTGAAGATATGGTTTCAGAACAAACGCTCTAAGTTTAAGAAATTGCTGAAGCAGGGCAGTAACCCGCACGAGAGCGACCCCCTCCCGGGCTCAGCGGCCCTGTCGCCGCGCTCGCCGGCGCTGCCTCCGGTGTGGGACGTTTCTGCCTCAGCCAAGGGCGTCAGTATGCCCCCCAACAGCTACATGCCCGGCTATTCGCATTGGTACTCCTCTCCACACCAGGACACGATGCAGAGACCACAGATGATGTGAGTTGTCTGAGGGAAATTGATACCCTGGGGAACCATCCGAACAGGCAAGGAGGATCCAGGACCTGCTTGCATCTGCCAAACCCAGCTGAAGGAGCAGGCTCGGGAGAACTCTTCTGTGTGGCAAGACAGCCTGGGCGCTTGCTCGCCCTCTTGCGCTCGCGCTCTCTCTCTCTCTCTCTCTTTCCCTCCCTCCTTCTCTTTTCCTTTCCTTCCTTTTCTTTTTCCCTTTCCTTTTCTCATCTGTGTTTTCCCTCGAGCAGCCTCAGTAACTGATCTTTCATCTTAGAGAGAGAGAAAGAGAGAGAGAGAAACTGGTTTCTATGCCAGCGCTCCTGAAACCCCCTCACTGCAAGGACATTTTCCCTTACCCTTTGGGATCCAGGCTCTGAGCCTCCTCTTCTCTTTGGGAGTATCCATCAAAACGACTTTTTTTTACAGACATTTCCCCCCACCAGAAGAATCTGCGCAAACATGGCAGCGTTTTTACTTGTTTAATGAGCTTAAGACATTACATGATGAAAAAGAAGCATTTCCGGCTCCTGCATTTTTATTTACCAATCCCAGACTGACAAAACAAAACAAAACAAAAAACAAAAACAGGAAAAAGAAAAGAGAAAGAAAGAAAAAGAAAAATCCCTCACCTAACAGCCCTTCTCTAAAGAAAAAGGAAAAATCGGCTGTAAGATTAGAACGTTGCCACAAAGGGAACGCTGCATGTTTTATCAAAATGCACCGAGCAAGAATGATGATGTTTTTTTTAAAAACAAAACAAAACAACAACAGCAAAACAAAACCACTCTTTCCCCACCCCACCCCCAAACCCTGAACTGGAATCAGGAAAGACAGAGGAAACAACCAAAATCACCATTCTATTGCTTTGATACCTTTACTAGGCGAATTGGTGGCATTCACTAAGCTAATAGGGACGTTTATATTGAGAAACATTTCTGTATATATTGTTGAATTTTAGTTGTACATATACTTTGTATGGTTTTGTCTTCTTTCATATATGGAGTAAAAGCCACAAAACGCTGGGAGTGTCCTGTATATTTCTCTCTGTGTGCCTCCATCTCACCCCCCCTCCTCCTTCCCTCCCAGTATATTTTCTATCACTCTTAAAAGAACTCCTATTTCCTAATATGGGAAGCCCTATATATAAACATCAAGTGCTTGCAAAGATGTCAGTTTGCGGCACTAGCCTTTGTTTTAAGTACTTTAACATTAAACATGGATGTTTTCTCAGCTTCCTTTATATATTTTTCTTATATTTTCTACACATTTATCTGTTTTTAAAAAACATTAGAATGATCTATCCCCAGGTTAACCTCTAGACATCCAGTAGCTTCCAGTGCTGAAACTGAGTGTTCTCCTTTTCCTTTCCTCAGCCAAAATAATACAGCTGTATTTGTCTTTGTTTGGAAGCAATTTTTTTAA